AAAAAAAAAAAGACAAGAAAATGTCAATCTAACACTAAAGTTTCGATCTATGTAAAGACTCGAGAGCACATGTCAGAAAGCTATGTGGCTTTGTAAATAAGGAAAAAAAATTACTATGTATAATATTTTTTCAATATCGTTAATAAAAATATAGTGCTTAATTATCTACATCTACAATTCTTATTCAAACTTGTGGCGGGCTTTTTGGCATCGTTGGCGGCTAAGGGACCAGGTGGTTTGCATATATTAGAGTGTCCTCCTCCGGGGGCGTTTCTATGGTTACAACACGATATCACTGGCGTGTCTTATCCTCGTAGGTCTTGACATAGTTGTAATAAGGCTTTGCCTCCTTTCTTGTACCAAAATAAAAAAAAAATAATAATAAAATATTATATTTGCCTAAATTGAATGTCATAAAGAATATGTTATGGATGTTTCAGAATAAAATATTTGCTCATAAATTGCAAATTTTGTTAAATATTTTTTGGACGAAACATGAATAGGATGTTACCAAAAACATATATTGTCATGGTATACTCACGCGTTTTTACCAAATAAATCTTATCGGAATTATTTATCAAAAAACTAATCTCATTTTGAAAATTGAGTTTTCTATGAATAGATTAATATATTATTTTTGTTACGTCTAAAATCCCCGAACCGCTCCAACCGCTCCTCTCCGGACCGGATTAATTCTCGACCACCAATACCTGCAAAATACGCCGGGGTGGTGAACACTCCGACGCTTAAGTCAGTAGGGTTTTCGAGAGTAAACGACAATATTAGTAAATGTGTGTGCATTCTCGTGTTTAATAACGAAAGAACCTGCTCTTTATATACTTAGGAGTCCCCTCATGGCAGAGCTCTAAGTCTCATAGAATCCTTCCTTCAGTCGTCTCTCTACAAGCATATCTCGTCCGTGAATCCTGGCTTCGCGGGTCTTCTCACCTTGGCGCCCCTGCTTTTAGTAGCTCGGCTACAGTCTGCCGAGCTCTACCCCAATAGCGCCGAACTATCCTCATGAAGGCCCCCCAGTTACTACCCAGTGCATGAACCGAGCTCACACTTAGTCCCGACCAACTTACTGTTACAACTGCTAATCTCTTAGGCCAACTCGACAGTTATGCTTTAAAGAATTACCTTATAATGGTTCTAAGTGCCATATCAATTTTCCGATAATTTTACCAAGAAAATTAATTTGAAATTTATTCATTAAATGATTGGAAA